CCGCTAATCTACGATCGTTGTGGGATCAACGTACTGAATGCTGAAATCATTGTTGACCAAGCGTTAAGGTATCGAGGATTAAAACCCATCGGATGAGAGTTTAGTGGCACGTAAATACTCACTGAGTGACGTTGTTTGTGTTAGCGATGCGCAAAAATGTCAATATGACGTTGTTGGGACATATCAAGGCATCCTAAGCCCGGCCCAGCGGATGCACGGGAAATATCACGTAATCCACTTAATAAAAACGTCATGTCAAATGAATCGTCATCGGATGTCATTAGTTTCGTCAGCTCTAGTTTGGAGCAAATTACGTTCGATGATGGTGCCGATCGGGGGTAAGAATTACACATCGTTTGTTGTGTCATCAAGTATTCATGAATGTCAGTTGTATACACTCTGCAATGTAGTGACTAGTGCATGTGGTGATACAACTGGCCTTATGGCATTTTACTCGTTAGTTCGCATTTGCAACTCGAAATGTGGTTGGCCGATAAGTTTAGTGACTCACTTAAGAAAGAATCCCTTCCAGAGTCGGTGGTCATTCGACCCAGCATCATGGACATGAAAGCCTCTTCACTTTTAAATAAAGCCGTTCGAAAAGACACAAAAGCAGGTCACAGTGCGCGTAGTGGGTCATCAGTACTGGAAAAAATAAATAAATTCTGTCAATCCTTCGTCCAGAAATTTATAGATGTGTTGGGCCACGATTTACCCTCTGTTCAAAATCCAGCCAGAAGTGTCCGTCATTGAATGGACTTAGTTCCTGCGACTAAATATCGTGTCACACGACAGTGTCCCTTGCCTAAGGAGCAATGGGATGTCATTGGTCACTTCTTCTGTGTTCAGCACGAGAAAGGAACGGTACGTGAGAACAAATCTCCACATTCAACACCGACGTTTCGTATCAAAAGGCCGAACTGCAAGTGGCGTCTTGTTTATACCTTGAGCAAGCTAAAAGCTGCTGCTATTCCGGGATAAACACCTTTCCCTCGAAAGGATGTTCTTTAAAACAACAAGGTTGTTTGTAGTATGTGTAGCGCACCCAACTTGGTCGATATAATTGATCATTAGCTCATGCGAGTGAGTGATATTCCGCTTGCAGCAGTGAGTACCCCGAGTGTTATGGTATAGAAATGGATGGTAATGCCCCAAGGACTGTATAATGCTCCTAAACCATGTATTTGTCTGGTGACGCACCTTTTCCGCCCACATCGTGATTACGTACAGACCTAGTTTGATGAAATTTTTGTACAAAGACGTGCCGGAAAAGGCCGATCTGATGCTGAAAATCACATCGGTCATTTGCGAGCCGTGCTCGGTTGCACGTGCACCAAAAAAATTGTACGCCAACGCATCTAAATGCATTTTTGGTGTAGAGGAGGTTCATTTTATAGAATGTTTCATTTGGTCCGCGAGGCCTTAGAGCGTCTCCCCCGCTAAGCTTAGGACTATTGTGGACTGACTAATTCCTAAGACTAAAAAAGACTTGCGCAAGTGGATTGATCCTGCCAATTACTTACACAGACAGTGAAGTTACACTGATATGGCTCGACTATAACTGATCTATCTAAAAAGGACACAAATCGGCGCTGGAAAAACACCCAAGCTGACACACATCAGGCAATAAGGGAGAGTCTTCTCGATGCTCACATCTTGGTGTTATCAAATTCTTAGTACCCTTGCCGGTTTGTCGGCAATGCATCCGACTTTTCCATGGGCAGGTCTCTGTTACAAACAGATGATGCAGGCCGTGAGCGAATTGTCGTGTCTGAATCACGTCAGCTAAATCTGCTAAAAAGAATTATCCAGTTCGTGACAAAGAGCTACTTGCTATGAATAATGTTCTCGTCAAATTTGGAGTCTACCTGCTTGGATCCAAGCCGTTAGCTGTTTGTACGGATCATGGGTCTAAATCACGCACGGCGACATAGTCACCTCACCTCTCTCAGAGAATGGATCTGTGAATATACTTCTTCTTTGTGGATATAACCTTGAGAATAGAATAAGCCAGGCGAACAAAATGTGTGGGCAGACGCCCTCTTTCACCGCACTGATTGTGAGCTTACTCATGTCACTACTTTGTCGTCTCCTTTTGAGGTATAAATCCGCGTGGCATATCCACGGGAACCTAAGTGTGTAGCATCGTTTCATGCACTTTGGAGTGAGGAATACAAAGACCCGGTTAGTCAGTCATAGGTCCGCTTGTGGGCAAGCCTACACCAATTGTCCATTTGTGATGGCCGCTTGAGCTTTGCATAGATATAGTGGATACTGCTCGCATTGTTGTAGCTCACAGTGAGGATCTAAAATTTAGAATCCTCTTTGAGGCCCATAATTCTGTCCTTAGTGGGCATCTGGGTCGTGAAAAGACCTATGGATCTGTGAGTCGACACTATGGTGGCCCAAACGCTACAGATGGGGGAGGTCATACGTGACTAAATGCGAAAATTGACAACGAGTTGAACACTCGGAACATTTGGCTACACCACTCGCCAGTTTACATGTGCTCACGGGACGTTATCCGTCCTTGGTATAAACTTTGTGTGTTTTCTTCCCAAAGAATGCGACGGCACTACTGTAATTCTGGTATTTGTTGACCTCTTAACTTGAATGGATCACTTGGCGGCAGGCCACATTCTATCGATGGAAAAGGTACAGAATTTCTGTTCATCCATCGTGTAGTTCGCCATCACGGGTTGCCCCTCGCAATCATCTCTGATCGTGACCCTTGCTTCATCGGAAAGTTTTGGACTTCCATCTTCAAGGTGCTTGGCACACGATAGGAAATGTCCAGAGCGGACCATCCGCAGAAAGATGGTCAAACAGAGCGAGTTAAATGCGTCATCGGCAATGTTCTTCGCAGTTCTTGTGTTGAGTTGCCTAAGACTCGGAGATCGATGCTCCCTGTCGTTAACTCTGCGTTGAACAACGTTGTCCATGCTTCGACCGAATTTGCTCCCTTCTGTACAGACAGCCTTGCACACACACCCGCGTTCCGCTCACACTACCATTACGTGATTCTAGGATTGCTGGGGTAGTCTGCTGACAAGATTGGTAAAATCAGCCCTACCGCGATGCAGAAACAAGTAAGCTAGTTTCTCACGATGCACTCTAGTGTCTTAAGACATGTGCGTGATGCAATGTCTGATGGTCAATACAAACAAAAAGAGCAAGCTGACAAAAAATGCAGAGCATTTATTTTGTCCTATGAAGTCGGAGACCAAGTCTTATGAAATGTTAACAACCTACCTACAAATGTAGTGTCCGCCATCTTCAAGAAAAAATGCATCTGGGCTTCATTGGGCTGTTTACGGTTATAGCGAAAAAAGGCCTTGCCGATACAATCAATCTCCCGCGCAATTTACGCACACGCCCATTACTTCACGCTGGTATGGTTAAGCCTTGTCATGATCCTTTCCTCGTGGACCGGAATGCTCTTGCGCCTGAAGGTGAGACATATTCCCCGCTTGCTGCATCTTTATCAAGACCCCCCCCTGTCCATTCATCTGTGGCTGGTTGTACTCCGCTTTCCGCGGTCGATTTTCGACCGAGTCTATCGAATGTGGACTGTTCATCTGCTCACTCAACTGAGCCAACCCATTCGATGACTATTCATTGGCGCATTTTACGTGGTCAAGAATTCCCAAAGTTGCTTCCTCTCCGTCACAGACTGATCCAGTGCCTTCTGCACGTGAGAAAAAAACTCTCAGCGTCACTTCACCTCTGACACCAAGTCTTCATGAGCATGTGCCGACAAATTGACCCCCTTCTGCATTTCTCGAAGATCAAGGGAACTTACAGTCCCATGTCGAAAGTATTTTGAACCAGCGTCTTCACAATGGTCAATACCATTATCTGGAAACGTGGCGTGGATACCTTGAGTCTGAAAACTAATGGGAAATTGAATTTGTTTTCGGCAATATTGACCGTACACCGTTGATGTTTTTGAGCGCCGCGCTGCGGGTCAGCTTGCACTCCAACGCGCTTTCCACCAATAGCTGTGGGGTTGAGGGATCGCTCTCCAACATTGAGTGACCCGCGACTGTCTGCACAGTCTAAACAGTGGTGGTTGTACTAGCAACTGGTTTTGCGTACTGCGTGTGATACAGCGAGTGTATCTGACGCAATCACTTTCACCATTTCGAGCATTTTGCAAGCGCTGCAGTACTTGTGCAATGTACGTGACCACGGTTCTTCCATTCACCGTGTTCTGTTATTCACCACAAGTTCTTTGCCGATCGTCTAGCTGCGGGCCATGTGGGAAAATCAACTTTCCCACATAGCTCTCCGACCTTCTGTGTGCGAAAAGCAACAGGAGGGTGGCGGATAGTGCGAAAAGAAATAAAACCTGAAAAACGTAAAAAAATCTTTAAAAAAGATTATTTGAAAAACAACAATTTAGAAATTTTTATGGATGTATTCATGAATATTAATTAAAAAGAAGATGATGACAGTGAGAATGCGGAAGCCCTCACTGAAGAAAAGGTTGATGTTGCTGCAGTGCGCTCACAGCGCACTGAAGCTAACGAGTCATCAGATGAGTTCATACTGGCTCTTTCATATATAGCCTTTTTAGGGAAATATGGAAAAAATGTTGAATTTTGGCGAAAAAAGACGTCATTTTAGGCCTTTTTTCGACCTCGGGAAATGCAACTGCGACAAGACTACTGGCTCTCTGCCCGCATGACTTTCTGAGAACTTGTGGGTAGGTATGCGACAATTCGTCCCGGAGTCCGATTGTACCAGATGTCGCTGGCGCGCTGAGACGGTACGTTTTAGAGGTTAAAATAACGCCTTTCTCGCCGAAAACACAACGCGTGACTTACTGTCATATGAACACCGTCGCTGAATATTGCCCGCTATCCTTTATCACACGAGAGAACGAGCTCGATCAGTCCCCAATTAAAGAGTGGACGACGTGTAACCACGCATCGGTCCAGGTCGCAAACCTGCGTTATCAGCCAGCGATCCCTGCAACACAAGAGGAAATTGCTTGATCATGGTGGGACTTCTCGAATAGCACACTCGTCCCAGCTTTCGTACATTTCCAAGTGTCCGCCACGAAGAGCAAACTTGCCTTGTCCGTGCGAGCCCCTGATAGACGAAAGCCTCGATCCAGTTTGTCTTTTGTAGCCATTTGTCCACTCGCAAGCGATGTCACTGGAAGAGACAGTCCATTGCCGCCGCTGCTGCTCGACATAGCCCATTTTGATCGGGCGGGAAAAACTGAAATCACTTCTTCATCAGTTCCTTTTCTGGTACCACCGTGTCATGTATGACATCAACTTCCAGCTCGTTAAGCTTAACAGAGCGCAAAATGACAGCCTTCGGGGCAAGCATGACTCCGAAGACTTCACTATATATGCGTCCGTGCTCTAGTAGCTACGGGAAGCAGATTTCCTCGAGATCAGCCAAGATAAAGAAGTTCGGAAATTTAAACAGGGCAAAGTGAAAGTATTTTCCTATTGTTGTTTGCGAGCCAAAAAAGGGTTGTGGACTTTAGTATGGAAGTGTAACAGGAAAGTGCAATGTGCTGTGAGTTTTAATCTTCCATATTTTTCTAAGATTTTGTTGCTCGCTTCATTACGATGATCGACATATCGCTCTAAGTTAATTGCTTAATGTCAACAACAAAAAAACAAGAGCCCGTTTCAAGAGGCAAATAACACCTCTGCGGTCAAGAGCCGAGACCACCTTCGAGCGATCCCGTTCCAACAAGCCAGTCTCGACGTGAGGATGCATCAGCGACGACATCAAGTCGTCCTGGTTTGTACTCTACCGTAAAGTTGTATTCTGCAAAGAATGATAACCACCGCGCCATTCGTTGCGAAAGGTGCAAGCTGTTTACTTGTGCAAGGGCAGGCAAGTCATTTATGCCATCGCCGACCATTGCAACGGTGTGGCCACTGCTCTGAAACTGCTTGACTTTTACAAAGACATTGGGAAGGAACAGCACCAACCATGATGTTGCGATAGCTGATACTGGATCGAATGAGCAGTTTAATGTGCACGGACTCGCAGCAGACGGTGACGGCTGGACGTGACGGCGGGAAGCAGTTTAAGGAAGAGAACAAAGAGCAATGATTGGGCGTTGGAAAGCGGGTAAAACTACCCCGAAAGAGATGATCGGCTGGATTTGTGAGTTCCATCCGTTGTTACCAGACCATGCTTTCTTCAGACCTGAATTTTTCGAACTCTTTATGCAATGCTTTTGCAATGTCTTGCGGTTGTCTTGGCTGCGTTCGTTTCAAATTCGCCAAGTGCCGCTGCTATTGTTTTTCGAGCCAAATTGGAAGACTTTAGTATGGAAATTCAAACAGGGCACGATAGTGTTGTTAAGTTGCTGCAAGGAGTGCACGGAACCATCCGTCTAGCTCAGTTGGTAGAGCGCTGGCCATTTAAGCCAGTGGTCGTGGGTTCGAGCCCTACGGGGGGGGCGAAACCCGCAGCCAAGTCGCCGTTCCAGTCGTTCCAGGCCAAAGTGAGGCAGTCGCCTGCAAAGCTTGCACGGGTGATGACTAGTCCAGGATGCGAACATGGACAGGGTAGTCATTTGACACGCCCTCCTCTTCATCTTGGCATTGGAGCCACTTTATCAAAAGCTGGATGACCAAACGGGTTTCGAGGGCGTCCTGCTACAGTCCGCTACGAACAAGAAAATGTCAAAAGTCGCACGGTATGCGGATGATACGGCCATAGCTGTTTTGATTTCAACAAAGCAGCTGTGCTTGACGGCTTGCTCTCTTTTTTGCTTAGAACGTCCCAGATCATTTCGAATGCAGCGACGAACATCATAATTACAAATAAAAATAATACAGTAATCGCTCCGACATATATAATTATTAAAATACTAGATAGAAATTCAACTTCAGAAAGTAATAATAATCCAGTTGAAGTAGTGCGGCTTGATCTACGTGATGTGGAGATACGACGCAAGATAAATGGGCAGAGAGTGACGAAGAGAGTTCAAGCTCGGCTTCGGAAGGGCTGAACTTTGCCGCTCGAGACTCGGAGGGGACAAGACAAGTTCTTTGCCGATCGTTTAGCTGCGGGCCATATGAGGGAATCAACTTCCCCACATAGCTCTCCGACCTTCTGTGTGCGAAAAGCAACAGGAGGGTGTCGACTTAAGGTCGTCGCTGATGCTCTTTCGCGTCAGCCAGCACTTGTGGACGAGCGACTGCGTGCTGCAGGCAAGTTGTCAGAGCTAGTACCGACGAGTGACCTAGGCAAACCGCCGTCAATCTGAGTGAAAAGAACACACGGACACGAACACAACGGTGGGGTGAGTGCTTGTATTTCTGATCGTGGATATGGTCTTCGCTCCCTCCGGTCTCTTCCGGTCTTCTCGTCACTCCCGTGCCATACCATCAACAACTTGCTGCTCGATTCCTTGATCATCGTAAAATGCCTTGAGCGAATTCGCCGCAAATTCTCGTGCACCATCGTGTCGAACGTCACGATTACCTTGCTTTAGCCTCAAGAGTGCAGAGCGTGATCTGAACTCGGCTCTCGCCGGCTCAAACGTCTCTTTGAGACGAGACGTTTGCGAGCCCGAAGGATGAAGCGAGTAGCACGTGTGCGCAAGGTTGCACGCCGAGCTTTCAACTCGTACTATCTGTGTGTGTCTGTGTCTGTAAATGAAGCGGTTAGGTGGACATTAAATCACGATGAAAGTTTATAATACCTTCCATTACAGGAGTTGCTGGATCTTGAAAACCTAATTGCCAAGGTTCTGCCATATCTAAAAAAGTAAAGTCGCGGATCAGACAAACGTTCGAGCCGCCTAGAGCTGAGTTCAGAGCTCGAACCAAACTCTTGAAGCTCAAACAGGGTAAGCGTGATGTGCACGCTCACGCGCAACATATACGACATCTCACGAGTTGTATAAGTTCCAACGTTCTCCAAACTATCGTGGGGGGGCGTGTGTCCCCGAGAGCCTCTTTGATCGCGTAACTCTTGCGTTGCGCGGCGTCCTCGAGCATGAGCGGGACAGGCGTCTTCAACAGGATTGACAACCGGAAATCCCTTTACGACCGTGCCGGGAAGAATTTCTCCAGCGGTCCTTCTGCGGCACAGGATGTGCCGCGTCGTACTGCTCGACCAGACCCAGTACGTCAATCATCAGTTGAGAGCGGGGCTCCCAACTATCCCAGGACGGGGGCGGCTGGAAGCAGTGCTGCGACCACGACGAAGGATCCTGTGCGAATGAGCAAGTTGTTTTCGCACATGCTTGGTGACTGTCCACTCGATGTAACCCACGTTGGCCGTTGTGGCCGTGTCCTTGTTCTTTTGACACTGCCACGCGCTTTTAGATCCCCAAAATTTGCATTGAGGTAGTAAATGGCGTCTTGTGTTCTTCGTAGCGTCTTCAAACACAAATCTAAGGCCAATCTTCATCTGCCGGATCATCTGTCGCTGAAGCTACTACATACCTCGATGTGTCCTTGAGTCACACGACCACCTATCCTTGAATTCGTCCTTGGACGGGTGGTAAGCCTTCTTAGGTGCTCGTGCAGAGTTGTTCACACAACATGGGCACGAGTCTCCCCAGGAGAGGCAGGGAGTAGGCCAAAAAAGATCTACTATTGCGGAATTAACAAAAAATTTAGAAGAAAAAAACACAATGTTCTTTTCTGTTATTGTAGCAGCTACTGCTTCTGATTCAGCTCCACTACAATATTTAGCCCCATATACAACCAATTAGGAACTACTCGTAAGTGCTACAGAATATTTGTCCTTATGACAATATTCTGAGAATATAACTCTTATAGTTATATTCTATTACACGAGCTGACGACAGCCATGCAACACCTGTTCTTTAAATAAAATTTAAATTTTTTTTTAGCAATAGTTGGTAAGGTTCTGCGCGTATTATCGAATTAAACCACATGCTCCACCGCTTGTGTATACTCCCGTCAATTCCTTTGAATTTCAATCTTGCGATTATACTTTTCAGGCGGAGTGCTTAACGCGTTAGCTGTTATATCTAAAAATTTCTAAATATTAGCACTCATCGTTTACGGCATGAGTTCCCCGAAAACCGCGGGAATAAGTCCCCGGGAAGCCGAAGGAATAAGTCCTTCGAAGCCTGAGGGAATAAGTCCCCAGGAAAACTGTTGTGAAAGCGGACAAGGTAGGGATTTGGTAACTTATCCGTTGTGTGCGTGGTAACTGGGCTGACTTTCCGTGTCTACTGAAACTGCTGTCGGCTTCATGTGTAGCTCGGCGTCATTCGCAGCAAAAGAGATCGGCGCACGCACGCAATCCGCTCGAGATCGCGCCTTCTAACTCCTCCACAAAGCATCTCACAACAGCCAGACCTGGATACTAGCTATGGATCGCATCTGCTTCCGCCTGTGCTTCGGCCTGCACTTCTGCAGCCAACTGTAGAGTAGCCGAGTCGTCTTCGCGTGCACTACTCGTCGTAGGTATGTGAGGACGCATCGTCAGTGCTGCTACTTTCGACGATGGGATGTCCACTTCTCCATGACGTCTCGTAGCAGCGCGATGGTGTTCACGCTGTGTCATAGAAAAGCCGAATAGGTACGTCGCCATGTCAGCGTGTCACGATTATACAGTACCGGAAGACGATCGTGTTCAATCTTACTGACATCTGACCATCACCAGCTCGTCAAGCTTCCCAAGAACCGATCGATTCCTGACGTTGTCACCAGCAGCCATTAGTGTGCAAGCAGACAGAGGCGCCAAGCTCCTCGGGATCGCGCAGCGATGTTGATGAACAACACTATCGATCAAGCTGTTTTTTTGGTCGTTTACAATCAACAACCATCAAGAGCCAGTCAAGTAGAGCCGCTGTGATCACTGAAGGCCACGAGAGGTCAGTCTACCGAAAAAGTGGTGCGCATTGTACCCTGTCCAAGAGAGGTGTTGAAGGCAACTTCAACAGTGCCCCCAGACTTGGCCATGCGACAAAAAGTGCAGTGCGCGGTCAAGCGGTGATGTCATCTGTGTGTGCGACTTACAGTTTGTGTTGAGGTATGCTATCGACGATACATAAGTACATGGAAGGCCTGAGTGCGTAACGTACAAAAAGCTCTACATCTCGATCGAAGCCTGTACAGTCTAGCACGAGCATCTACAGACAAATCTTACGAGTATGGGATTCGATTAAAGTCTCACTGACTCGTGTATGCTCTACCTTTCACCACGAAGGTTCATGATCGGTCGATCGTGCCACGCCACAGACCTCGAGCGGGCTTGTGGTTTGCGCGGATCCAATGGAGCATCTCGGGTGTGCAGCGGGAGATAACACTGAGCTCATGCCAATAGTATCCGAGATGATTTTTGAGTCTCAATACCGCTCTTCAATCGAACGGTAATCGGTTCGTGATGGACTGCTGTACTATACAGCAGTCAACGGCGACACTCGAGAATCGTTGAAACGATTATCGTCTGCTAATCGATCTGCATCAGATCGATACACTACTCGCAACGGGTTACTGTACTATACAGCAATTTCTGGTGACACAGGATCTTCTCCCACTCGTACGATCACGAGCTCAGACTACGTCTGCTGTCTGCATTCCCTTAGTTGCATTCATTTGGCTTGGGGATATCATTCTTGTAGCGCTGCGCAAACACAAGCAACGACTGGTGCCACAACACGGGCAGCTTGCGCGTGTCTGACGTGAAGCGGACAAAGTTTTCTCCATAGCTCCTATAAAAATTAAAATACAAAATACATCGATTAGACTTAGAATATAATTACAAAAAATAAAATGTAAATTTTGAGCAATTGAAATTGCAGCAAATGTACTAAAATATTCAATTATTCGAATATTATAGAAAATAGTTAAAACACATAATAATAAAATTAAGTCACTAATTCTTACTTGTCATATAATACCTAAACTGTTTGTGATGTGTTTCTATTCTGTTGCCTATCGTTTATCTGCCAACAGGGTAAATTGTGCTAATAAATTAAAACCACGAAATAAATTGTTTTCAAAATAATAGAAACATTCATAAGAATTTAAATGTATTAAAATTAAATACAAAAAAATGGAATTTATTTAAAAAATTAAGATATCGAAAAGAAATAAACACTGAAAAACGTAATTCTCGGGATCAGTTCAGCGCTCCTCCCCTACTGATCCCGACTGTTTTATGATAGTCTAACACTCTGTTAAGACTTTACAAAAGTGTCGGACCCGAATACGTTGTACATCTTAGTTTAACTGCGATCCTTTTATCGCACCTCTATGCTGCATCAGCTGTGGACCCGCGCCTTAGTGCATCTGCTGCAGCTGCAGCCCCCTCCACTCGCACGCTGAACAGTGGGAAATGGTGTGAGTCAACTGACCCTAAAGACGAACATCAGACCTCACCGGGAGTGGCGGTTAATGGTCGCGATTGGGACGAAATTGTCCGTTGTGCCAGTGTGGATACGTCGGACAGGATCGACGAAGCGTAAATCAAACCCAATCAGTCGCATAGTTTCGTACATAAATTTTGTGTCAACCGTGTCGTAGGCCTTCCAAAAGTCAACTTCTAGATGTTCCCCGCTAGGGATACATCTTTGTCCCAGTCCACCCGACTTATTCGAGTGGTGGACCTTCGGCGCAGCCTGTGTTTCCTCACAGCCGCCGGAACTTTTTTAAGCAGAAGTCCGCAGACTTCCACCCTTTCGCGTGTTGCACTTGACAGTTCCTTAAGAATTTCGTGGGTTAGAGAGTCCTTAGACTCCTGTATTCCCTGCGCTCAACGGGTGCGGCTTGGTGTCGGCCGGCGAGGGACGTGTCTCTTTGGTCGTGATTCCGACTCGGGGCCGTGTGGCTGCTCGACGTATAAAACGGGGAAGAAGCTGTGCCGTGTAACTTCACGTACACTGGTCCGTGCAGAGGAAGACGGTAAGGAGAAGCGAATACTGCTTAAAGTAAAAGTAGAACTGTATTCAAAGACCTGGTTACGCCCTCGAAGTCAGCTTCGGAGGTGGTCAAGTTGGCAACGCTAGAATCTAAAACATTCTTGCGAGATCTGCGAAGTGACAAGATCAAGCAGATCTGCGTACTAGGACAGCTACCTCTTAGATTCGTACTGACCTAATCAAGGTATTTACAAATCCGTGATGGAGAGGGGATGAAGCAATTGACAGTTTCGTCTTAAAATCTTTAGATGTACGACGCGTTTACGTGAACTTTTGCAGCATCACCGAATCTGTATCAGTGTAAGTAGCTTTTACAGTGACGGTTTTAAGCGACCCGTGCCCCGTAACAGGACACCGCAAAGGAAGACTCATTTTACAAGCCAACGGCTTACGGCTGACAGCCTATTAGTTATAAGGAGCTAATATATCAAGTTAAAGAGTCACCCAGTTCTACGGAACTCGGGTGATAAGCAAAAGCAAAACGCTGACAAGAATAGAAGGGCAAACACTCTCAAATTTAAAAAAGGTGACTTAGTCCTACTGTCTACGGTTAATCTACCAAAGCATGTAGTGGCTAGCGCAGGCCGTGGAGGACCGGATTGCAGAGAATGTTGTTAAGAAAACCGAAGCTCGTGCCCAAAAGGTGAAGCATTCGATGGGTGAGGTCGTGGTGTAAAACCTGTTTGCTCGACCGCCTTGGCTGGCAAGCGGAATCGGAGTACCCCCTCCGTTAGTCGGTCGTCTGGGCGCCAGTAGAGAGTCGGGATCGCCTCAAAAAATGAGCGAACCCCACTCCACCACAATTGTGCGCGTGCCCGGGTCTTCTGGTGACTCGGGATTTCACCGTAGGTGTGACCGGAGCATTGAGAATGGCATGATCAACATCGGAAACAACGCGGGTGATCGAGTTGAGCAGCTTTTGCTGCATCACGTCGTCAGGAGGAGGGGCTGTACCGGTCGGGCTGCATAGGTCTCCCATCATTGATCCTCAGTGCTTGAGAATCTCTAGTATTGAATGGAAGGGTTTGAGAAATGCTCGACAACCATGTTATTTTGCGATCTTATTATGAATAAGACTGCTCAAATTTGGCAATTGATGGTATTCTCTTGCGACCTTCTTTTTGGACGTGGGATTCGGACCCGCAATCGCTGGATTGACGGGGTTGGTGCTACATCACTGCACCGGGCAAGAACCCTGGGGATGACGACCCTACATCGGGTGTCGTGTGCAGCATCGTTAGCGCATTCTCAGCCCAACGTTCGGGGAATTAATTTGGGGCCTGCATCAGATCGTTGTCTAGAAAAATTATTATCCCCTTTTACATAACGTTCATGCGCTGCTCCAAGATTGGTCGATATAAGACATATCAACCATAGATTGCCACCAATCTCTGTTAGACGCGCGCAATGAGTCAAGACTGAAACTTACAGGAATTGACGGAAGGGCACGACCAGGAGTGGAGCCTGCGGCTTAATTTGACTCAACACGGGAAAACTTCAGGCTGTATCATCGCCAACGATGACGCCAAGATGTTAGATGAACCTCGCCGATCGATACGTTAGCTGCAACGACAAAGAAATCGATGCCGCTGCAGTAGCAGTCTTGCCAGCAATGGATTTTGTCGGTCGCGGGCGTTTCAGCGACTTCGTCTGCCCAGCTGCAAATCTTGATCGGTCTATTAGCAAAGCCGACGATACTAGCCCTGTCTTTAGGGTCAGTTGGAATGCCAAATAACGAAGTTTATACCGACCGCGTTGGGCTTGACAATTCGCTCCATGATGCTTCAGAATGTGTCAGATCATTTCGTCTGTTTTGATGAAATTCCGTAACATGCCAAATCATGCACCAGTCGAAGAACATCGATGTGTGCTACGCAGCAATATGAGACCGGTAGTAGTGCTGTTCAAAAAACTTTAGTGCATTGCAGGAATTCATTGATTCTGATGATGACTACATTATCTAAGAACCGTACGCTGGACGCTAAGATTCCAGGGCCCTTTGGCCTTCAGCTTAGCAAACTCAGAGCGCAGTTTGCGCTTTATCCGAACAATGGCCTTGGATTCAATAGATCTAAGGTCACCCATGCTGGGCAACCGACGTGATCTAAGTTTTTAATGATTGGACGCGCTGTCATCCCCGGCATCGCTCTCATTCCTGGTATAAAACTACCGGGATCGTTCTCTGCGTCGGTACAGAGGCCTACGTGCTTGTTCCGTCAACTTGATTTGGTACTCGGCAGCCGTCGTCGCTTCTGACGTCAAGTATCTCTCTCTGAGAGCACCTCGTTTAGCAATATCGTTAGACGTCGTAGCCTCGCGCCCTGTGGACCAAGTTGTCAATGGCTGCCCTGCGAACTTTCTCAACAGCTCATCAACGCTCAAAGTCTTGAAGCGATAGTCCGAATGGTCTTCTGCAATGGCTAAGTCTAAGATAGACGTCTAGCTCTCTAGTTTTCCTCAAGAAATGTTGCTGTTGCTCATCGAGCTTGTTGGTGATGACATGCTCATCAAGAGTGGTTTGGGCCCGCAACGCTGTTATCGTTTGAGCAGTGCTTCGTTTTGGGAATGGATTTGACGCCAAGCGTGAAGGTTCGCACGACGCCCACGTGGCAAGTTCGGCGGTTTCACCCTCTTTCATGAAAATGTCGCTGTCATGTTCTCTTCTCGTAAAATTTCTTCCAAAAACCCGAAGGAATGCGAAGACTTCGCCATTGATGTGCAAGGTGTCGTGAACGCAACCATGGTGTTATCTGTTCTCTCATAGCTATCTCAATGAGAAAGGTGAAGAATGTTGATTCGGGGTATTGACTGCTTGTAGGGGAGGGTGTAACCGGGTCACACAAACGGTTGTGATAACCAGGTACATTAGTGTGGTACACACAGAAAGAGATCAGTGTCACTGATAAGGCGCACTTTTGTGTCCAATGCTCTAAGCGATGATACCGTACCTTATCGGTTATGGTTAGAGGATATCTATAATAATAGGGTCTTCATCGAGGCGACGTGGTTCTGGTGTGGTATACAAGAAGAACCACGATGAGCACTATTCAATCAGGTAGCATATTAATGAGGTTAAAGAGGTGAGTAAGGTTTATCATCGCTATAAATCAGTAAATGTATTCATTTCGCCTTTTGATCAATTTCAGACACGTGTCTTTCTGAGATGTCTCTGGTCGTATGAGTGAAGTGCCTGAGTAAAGACAAAGTATTCTTGGCGATTAGTGCCACGTGATTCCTCGGTGTCGTAGTCCCCTGAACCAGGACAAAAAGCTTAAGAGCTTGTTCATACTTAGAGTTAAGTCTCGTCAGGTCTGTAAGACTTGAGACTATTTAAGTGAGTAACCGTTTGGCTTGATACATTAAGAGACCATACGAGTTTAGAGGTCTTTTTCTGACAAAGGAGTAAGGGTGGCTTAGCCACAGATAACCTCCGTCATCCATTGATGAAAGATTGATGTACCACTTTATCGATCTTTAACATAATAAAGATTACGATGTGAATCAGTTTGATCTTAGTATTGGAAAGTTATATGAGGTTCATCACAGGTAAAACAGAAATGAAAGCTCAATTCCTCTTTTGATCTTTGAGTGACAAGTATATAGTCTAGACGTCAGCAGATCGTTAAGAGTTGAATACAGCCTGCGGTGTATGTCCTATATCACATTTTGCGTACGATTCTTAGATTCGTTGTTAGTCCCTTGAACCAGGACTAGAAGCTTTACGAGCTTAAAGACTCTGGGTCTTTGTTTGTGAGTTCTAAGGACTAGAGATTCTTTAAAGCGATAGGAACTATAAACTTCTATAGTCGTTAGTCTTCCTCTGAATAAGAGCTGTGTAGCTCGACTACATATCGATTGTGTAACGGAGCACCCTGAAGCTTGTACTGGTGACAGTACAAGCTAATTATTCTGATGACAGAATAAGGCGGTGCCTCGGAACTTCACGTACACTGGTTTGTGCAGAGGAAGACGGTGAGAAAAAGCGAGTACTTGGTTAAAGTAAAAAGTAGAACTGTATTTAGTATAGTTAATGTCTGTTAACAAATCACTGTTCATCCTCATCTAACTATGTCTGAATACAAATGTGCATATCAACTATCTGCTCACCACTCATCGCGTGCGTCTGTCGTGGCGCGTCTTCGTTGGTTGATATAATGGCCTATATCAATCAATTAGGAATTACTCGTAAGTGCTACAGAATATTTGTCCCTTATGACAATATCTGAGAATATAACTCTTATAGTTATATTCTGTAAACAATTTCTTAAAAATTGTTATGTAACGATTCACCCCGTTACATCACCCCCCCTCAACCATAAGTCACTTTAGTGACTGATTGACTAAATGGATACTCGTCCCAAATCAGTTGGGACGGGGTTTGCACTTGTTAATCCGAGTCCACTTTCCAACAATTCATCGCATGGTTAACAAGCCCATGCGATGCGCGAGCAAGGCCGCCGAGAGCGTGTCCGCACTTCTCAGTGCGGACGTCGAAGCAGAAACCGCAGCAACTGATGTCTCATCGGGTGCTGAAGCGACTCAGCCTTTGTCACCTGGTGATACAGGCGCTCGTCATGAAGACACTCATGTATTCACAGAGTATGAGCTCGGTGTCTCATACTCTTCTGATACGGAAGACGGATCCGTATCGACGGCGATCGAATCCAAGCCGCCTGCCAAGCGTGGCATGGATGATGCTATGCATCGCAGCATGTTTGGTTCATCTGATGAATCAGATGAACCATCGCCGAAGCGAAGGCGCTAGAGGTCGCGAGACTCGGGCGCTTACAGTGGTGTCGGTTCTCCTATTGACACCTCTTCGCAACGAGTTGCCATTCCTTCTGTCGGCACGTCGCAGGAAGAGCGGGACCGCAATGTGTTGCGTCTCGCTCCAGAAAAGAAGGCATGGATGCCTCCAAAATCCGTCATGGATCACTTGTCGGCGACGACGAGTGATCGTTATCGAACACGGTTGTTCGATTCGTCAAGGATCCATCACCTTGACCCCAGCGCGAAAACCTATCGCGCTGAGAATGAATTCCTCATCGATGCTTTCTTTAAACATCGATGGTACATTGGGAATCATAAGCGTGATGGTACCTCACTACTTCAAGCGTGGAACGCCTACATCCATAACCTTGAGGATGTAGGTCGTGACGCTTGGAACGACAAACTTATCAAAGCTCGTGATAAGTTCAAAAAGCGAACCCCGACTGGTGCACGCTACAAGCTGCATCGTCTGTCAAGGGAGAAAGGATTACCCTGCCTCTCTTGGGGAGACTCGTGCCCGTGTTGTGTGAACAACTCTGCACGAGCACCTAAGGAGGCTTACCTCCTTACCAGCCCGTGGTGGCGCGTACGTGTCTCTACTGAGATGTACGAAGGGATTGACAACCTGAAATCCCTTTACGACCGTGCCGGGAAGACTTTCTCCGGCGGTCCTTCTGCGGCACAGGATGTGCCGCGTCGTACTGATTAACCAGACCCAGTACGTCAATCATCAGTTAAGAGCGGGGCTCCCAAGTATCCCAGGACGGGGGATAGCCGCGCCACCGGACGAGTTAACTCTTCCGACGTCCGTTCACGTCGCGGTGGTTCAACAGCTGCTCAACTAGATAGAGCTGGCCACCGCGAGAGTCCTCTACTGAAGGTGGAGGAGGAGGAAAGACGCTCTCCACACAATCGTGGGGTAGCGTGTGTTCCCGAGAGCTTCTTTGATCGCGTAACGAAAGGGTTACGCGACGATCTCGAGCATGAGCGGAATAGGCGTCTCCAAATGGCGGACACTGCCTCGAAGCATCGAGCTGAGTTTGCATTTGCTTAGCTTGAGAATGAGAGAGCTCTGACAGCTCTTCGTGACGAGCTAAGGGTAGCTCGTGGGATTGTTGATCGGTCTCGGGATGAGATAACTGCTCTTCAGACCCTTGTCGATGCCCATCATCGGGGGCACAAGGCTCTCTGCGAGATGCTTGAGCGCAAGGGCGTTCTTCATCGGAAGAAGCAGCGTACTGATGGTACGTCTTAAGCCGACCAACGTAAAACGTGGGATGCGCTCGCATCTTACGTGGCAACTCGATCGTGTATGCATTGCCCAGGCGGTGCAATACACGAAATGGGCCGATGCACTTGGGTAGTAGTTTACTGCTACCCAATTTAGTCACTACATGCTTTGGTATATTAACCGTAGACAGTAGGGCTAAGTCACCTTTATTAAATAAAAGAGTGTTTGCCCTTCCATTCTTGTCAGCGTTTTGCTTTTGCTTATCCACCGCTTCGGCGATGGAGTCTTGCACAAAAGGACTACCGTTTCGCGAGCCAGTATGAACTCATCTGATGACTCGTTAGCTTCAGTGCGCTGTGAGTGCACTGCAGCAACATCAACCTTTTCTTCAGTGAGGGCTTCCGCACTCTCACTGGCATCGTCTTCTTCTATATCGATGTTATCGATATCGGCATCAAACGCAATGACCTCTTCGTCAGAGCGTGATGAGCGTGAACCAAATCGGATTTTGCTCGCGCGAGTCCCCCCCCTTCAACCAGAGTTACACTCTAGTAAGGTAGGTACACGCGGATGGCGTAAGCCATTCACGTAAAACGGCGTATGGGTCGTGGACGCATGCACCGAGTTGTTAATGGCAAACTCTACCGCTGGCAAAAACTCACTCCAAATCTTAAAGGAGTGTACGTAACCTTGAAGTATCTCTTCGAGGACACGATTGGCTCGTTCCGTCTGACCATCTGGCTCTGGATGGTCAGATGTAGACATCTTCAAGCGCGTTCCGAGTGATGTGAACACGGAACGCCAGAAATCAGCAGTGAATCGTGGATCTATGTCTGATACGAGTTCACGGGGCAACCCATGAAGTCGGAAGATGGTGTCAATAAAGACACAAGCACAGCTACTTGCCGTGATTGTCTCTGGTACAGCCACAAGGTGTACCATTTTGCTGAATCTGTCAACAAATACGAGAATACCCGTATTCCCGCGTGCGTCTTTGGGTAGCCCGAAGACGAAATCCATTGAGATGGATTCCCAGCACTCAGCCGGAACCGGTAGAGGCTGTAAAGGTGCACGCAGTGAAGGACTTGACTTCACTCGTTGACAGACTTCGCATGCGCGAACATACTTTCGCACAAACTGATACTGGCGGGGCCAGTAAAAGTCTCGACTCACCGTGATATATGTTTTCTCCCGGCCACGATGTCCCCCTATAGGAGCATCGTGATACTCGAACACGATCCGCAAACGCAGATCAGTATCATCTGGAATGACAACACGTGGTGTGTCACCAGAAACGGCTGTATAATACAGTAATCCGTTGCGAGTAGTGTATCGATCTGATGCAGATCGATACGCAGACGATACTCGGTTCAACGATTCTCGGGATGGTTGGGAGAGATGTGTCAACAACTTCACAATCTCACCATCTTGGGCGTATGCCCGCCTCACATCATCATACAACGTTGTAGATGGGACTGAGGACGTCATAACCGCAACAGTGACTGTCTCACTGTTGGGTTTCGCGACTGTTTCAAAGTCGGGACGACGTGAGAGTGCATCAGCGACGACATTAAGTCGTCCTGGTTTGTACTCGACCGTAAAGTTGTATTCTGCAAAGAATGACAACCACCGCGCCATTCGTTGTGAAAGGTGCGGGCTGTTCACTGCCGTGCGTGATGACGCATGGTCAGTGTAAACAATGAAGGGTCTATCTCCTAATAGATGGACTCTGAACTTCGCGAGTGCGTACTTCATGGCAAGGAGTTCCTTGTCATGCAATGGATAGTTCCGCTCAGCTGGTTGTAGCTGACACGACTGATAGCAGACGACGCGTTCAACGCCTTCAAGATCGTACTGCATCAATGCACAGCCGATTGCGAAATCTCTGGCATCACAGACCACATGAAATGGCCTGTCCTGATCGCCTATTGCTAGGACTGGGGATTGTATCAAGCTCTGCTTGATACCATCAAAGGAGCGCTGACATTCAGCGTTCCATAACCACCTCTCGTTCTTTTTCAACAAACGAGAGAGGTGCACAGTCATCTCGGAGTTTTTGCGTGAATACTTATGCAAATACGCCGCTAGCCCAAGGAATTTTCGAAGACCTTTGACATCAACCGGCACAGGCCAGTCGGTGATCGCCTTTATCTTTTCGGGATCAGGACGTACACCGTTCTTACCAACAATGCACCCAAGAAGTGGTATTTCGCTTGCTGCAAATATACACTTCTTGAGGTATGCATACAATCGATGCTTTCGCATGATTGTAAGAACCTGTCGGACGTGGTACCTGTGAACCTCAACATCCGACTTTCCATCCATAGCCCGACTATGGATGAATACGTCATCAGAATAACTCGGCGCGAATTCTCGTACTGGTCTCAACAGATGTGACGCACATCTGTTGAACGTGGCAGGGGCATTACTAAGCCCTTGTGGCATTACTAGCCATTCCCGGAGAAAATGCCGCTAGGCGTGCTAACTGCGGTATAGGGTATATCCCGTTCTTGTATAAGGATTTGATAGAAGCCATCCATCAAATCCATGGACGAAAAGATGGTACTCTTTGACATACCATCAATGATTACGTCCTTCCTCGGTATCGGCGTCCGAGCCGGTACCGTTGCAGCATTCCACTTGTTAAATGCATGCACAATCCGCCACCCTCCTGTTGCTTTTCGCACACAGAAGGTCGGAGAGCTATGTGGGGAAGTTGGTTCCCTCACATGGCCCGCAGCTAAACGATCGGCAAAGAACTTGTCGATCGCAAGTACTTGTTCACGGGGCAGTGGTCACTGCTTCATGACACAGTACTTCGAGCCTGGTTTAAGCTCGACCTCGTGTCGAATACCTTTATCCTTCGGTAATTCGCACGGAACAGTTTCAGAGAATACATCCTTGAATTCTACCAAATCTTCATAAAGGGGATTTGTCTTGAGCGATTCCCACGATTGGGAGTCATATCGCTCAACTCGTGTCTTTTCATCTAGGACACTCTCGTCCATAGATGAACTACTGAGAACTCTCTCGTTCTCAGTAAACACTGTTGCTGACCTTATGTCGGTTACACACTCGTCGTCAGCGACGAGTACGCAGATCTGCTTGACTTTGCCACTACGCAGATCACGCAAGAACCTTTTATGTTCGAGCGTTGGCAACTGAGTGATCTCCGAAGTTAACTTCGGAGGCGCAATCAGATCAAGTGTATAGGCGCCTACACTTGATCCGTCATTGACGATGACATTCAATGTCTCTGTCATTTCCTGGGGACTTATTCCCTCAGGCCTCGAAGGACTTATTCCTTCGGCTTCCCGGGGACTTATTCCCGCGGGTTTCGGGGAACTTATTTCCGCCGTATTTGTAATTTTGGGACTTATTCCCTTTACTTCCTCTATCTGGGGTTGCGCAACCACAGCGAGATCCTCTACGAAAGACTCTCCAGTCGATCTAGGATTATCGTTTCGCTTAACCTGAGCGATCGATTGTTTCTCTTCTAGATGTTCCCTGCTAGGGATACATCTTTGTCCCGGTCCACTCGACTTATTCGAGTGGTGGACCTTCGGTGCAGCCTGTGTTTCCTCACAGCCGCCGGAACTTTGCTCCGAAGTGTAATCGTTTGTCACACTAAGGTTTTGTGCAGTCGTACTAACGACCGTACCACAAGTGAGGCCATCGCACTCACTCGTAGTACATCCACACGCTTGTGGACGCTCCAAAACGTTCATCAGATGGCCATCTGATGAACAAGCGGCAGGCATCGTTACTGTTCGATGTTGCCAGTTTACTCGTGGTTCGTACCTTCTGAGCCACGGCATTCCAAGGATGACATCAAATTTGTCATCCAAATCCAATACGATAAAGTCATCGTCATATTGGGTACCTTCTAGCGTATGGTGGATCTTCACTATACGCTTCATGGCGGTTACGGATGCGCCTGTCGCAAGAAGTACCGTCATCCTCGTAGGAGGTGTGTCACATTCACTGAACTTAAAGTGACCATCTTCTAGCGATTGGCGTTGCACAAAATTGTTGGACGCCCCACAATCGACTAGAGCTCGAAGGGACAACTTATTCGTCACTTCGAGTTTCAAGGTAATGAGTGAGATCTCATTACCTAGAGCAGCAACGCACAACGTTTGTGTGTTGGGAGCAACCTTCATCAAGAGGCCTACAAATTCTCTTGACGTTGCTGGACCAGTAGGGTGCTCCGCACCTACTGATCCTGTCCGTTTTTTTACGGTCCATCCCGTTGTTGCGTCTTTGCACCAACTGCGGACCCTCGTCCCTGCCCCTTTCTCATGGGTGGACGGTCACTACGCCCAGTGTCGCGAGACACTGGACGAGGGGCACTACACTCGTAAGCGTAGTGTCCTGTCTTTTGACATCTGTTGCATCTCTGCAACTTCTTGTAGCCTGTAGAGCGAGCCTTCTCGCTCTCTACATAACAGAGTTCCATCGGCTCTGGACCTCCGTTGTCATATCGTCTCGGTTGACGATATGATGTCGAGCTGGAGCGAGCCTGTCTCAGACTGAAGTCTTCCTGCTCCGCAATGGAAATGGCTTGTTCTAGTGAATCTAGTTCAAGTCGGAACAGGTGAATCTTGAAGGGACCATCCGCAAGACCCTGCATGAACACCGAAACCAACGTGTGTTCATCACCGGGTTGGAACTTATACAACTCGTGAGATGTCGTATATGTTGCGCGTAAGCATGCACATCACGCTTACCTTGCTTGAGCTTCAAGAGTTCAGTTCGAGCTCTGAAATCAGCTCTAGGCGGTTCAAACGTTTGTCTGAGCCGCGATTTGAAGACTTCTAACGACCAAAACGCATATGGGTCGTGCAACTTGAGCCCCAGTGCCCAAGCCTTGGCACGTCCTGCCAGATTTGACTGGGCAAATGCAACTTGCATATCCCCGTCGTCGATGCGACGCGCCCTTATGGCGTCATCCAATTCGACGAACCATCTCAAGAGGGAGTCCTCTTCGAATCCCCTATACTTGGAGATGTCAATCTTCAAAGTCTCGGGTCGACGCAAGAGCATCGACACACCAGC